GGCAACAACAATTTGCGACGCCGTACCCGCCAACTCAACCCCGCGAACATAGCGAAGGCTAAATCCCTACGCGCTTTCCTAAATATCATAATCTGTTTGGTGGAAGGAATCGTAAGTATGCTAACCGGGATGCGCTTGTAAAAGCGCAGACTGCTTTCGATGAGGAAGCAGCCCATACTAATAGGTAAGCAAATAATCCACAACCTATGTGAGCTTTCCTTTCGTCTCCGAAAGGCGCACTGGTGGACGGCGATAAATCACTGCGTGTGTGTGTGTGTGTGTGTGTGTGTGTGTGTGTGTGTGTGTGTGTGTGTGTGTGTGTGTGTGTGTGTGTGTGCGTGCGTGCGTGCGTGCGTGCGTGCGTGCGTGCGTGCGTGCGTGTGTGACACTCAACTTGGACAGTGTGCGATGAGGCTTGAACTGATGCTTGTAAGTTCGCGTGCGAAACTGGGTTGTCCATGAGGTGCTGTCTCCCCACTGCAGCGTTTGGGCGGGTGTGACGTTGCCTGGACCTAAATGCAAGACACACTGGGGGCCTCGCTTCTCGTCGCGTGCGAGTCTCAAGGACGGTGTGCGCGAGGCGAAAGGGAACCGCGAGCCGGAGACGAAGCTAAGCCTGACGTGGACCCCCTCCACTGAAGCACGTTGCGCTGCGGCTCACACGTGTGTTCTTGCCTTTTCTTTCTTTTATTTTTTTTGTAAGCTCGTGCCAAGATCATCAATTTAACTAAAGCAGAACTGACATCTGGGAGTGAACTGGGACGTTCTCCAGAACTGAAAGCGGAAGAATTACTCCACTTCTGCCCAGTGTGAAATATGCAGAAACCGCGGAGCTGTGGTTCTCCTAGGTTACCCTTGAGATTTTCTGTGATCACTATGCGACTACCTTTTCCTCCGAGACCGAGGCAGTTACGCTGTCTATGGGTGTTTCTGGAAACCGGAGCGTGACCACAGCGGGCACTCATCTGTCGCCAGACCGAGTCCTAGAAGAACTCCGCGGCTAAAAGCGAACTTCGATTCTGCCTTCCTGAAGGTGGACTGTAAGCATAGGACCCAGATCGGGGGGGGGGGGGGCAATTCAAAACAAAAACGGTCATTTATTGTGCGGTCCTCGAGCATTTACGGTTCTCTTTCTAATGGAGGCTCAACTTCCTTTTCTGACAGAGGGAGGACTGGTGCGTACGCAATACTCGTACGTAGGTGCACATGAAAGAACCACAGTGCAGAAAACGAACAGTAACAAAAAAGTTACCACTAAATGACCATGCCCAGCACAAACATACAAACCTCAGCAGCAAAGTGTTGCACTATGTTTAACGGTGCACTCGCAATATGTGTAACGATAGGTGAAAAACAGGTGTATCAGTAGCAAGAATTCTCGCCCAGCGCATTTGCGCTTCATTTATTGTGCACGCTGACGATGCTTGTAAGGATCGTGGTATGTTTGGCAAGATAATAATAATCACAGGCATATATATGTTACATATACACCAGTCGCAAAGTGGTGTGATGCAATTAACTGTTAGTGTAAATGTTGCATCCACCAGTCAACGACTTTTCACTAATTAATCACAAGGACCAACATGTACACCCAACTGCATGTCTGTGAAAAAGCGAGAAAAAAAATTGGAGGACAAAGTTTCACCAAACTAGCAAGAAAGCGCTATACAAGCAAATTCACTTATATCACCAGACCGTAAATCGTTTCTATACCGCAACGTTCAACATACGTATGAGAAACCATGTGTATTAAATCAGCATCTAACAACCACGTTTCAACATTGAGGAATTATTTTGTGTGCAACTGTGTTCTTCTTGCGAGGTGTGGGTACGTTTTTATTTATCGAGTATAATCAGGCTGTGATGACCTATCCTTTTAAGTGTCTAAAGTGTATAGAAAACAACCGTGATTTGAAAAAAATATAGTAGTAATAACAGCGAGAATATTCATAAAGAAAAAAAAAACGAGTGGGACATTTAATTTTTCACCTCTTACTATCAAAACCTACTATGGTAGTTGAGCAAGCTAACTGAAAAGGAAGCGACACATGTACCACATACACCTCTGGTTCAACAAATGAAAGGATGTGATGGACGTGAAATCGACGACACATTAGAGCACTGATGCAAGCGCAGTTTTTCAGCCAACAGTTTTCCGCTTTTCGAGCACAAGCGTTCGAGCTGGTATATCAGGATTATAAGGTTGACTGGTTAAATATAAATAGGTTCAACGACATCATAACATGTGTACGAAGCGTTTTTTCATTTGATATGTACGACAAAGACTATATAGAGACACTTCAGGTGGACACGAGAACACACCTTGCGCACGTCTATTGAATGTAGTATTTTTTTTCTTAAAAATCATGTCACGATATAAACATACTAGGTAATTGTTTATTTCGTTACAAAACAACTGATTAGGCGTGCAGTAAACCATCAACGACCACACTGTAAAACATCGAATGCCTAAAGTATCATTGTAAAAAATGCCTTGTATGACTGTCAAAATCTAATGGATTTCAAGGGCATAAGTGCTTGCAGCTCACAGACGCAAGTATCTTTTTTTTTCCTTTTTTGGGCAAAAAGTTGCCCCACTAGGTGACCGTTAGTGTCGGCCTTATTTAAGATTCGTTGACAGAACTGGTGCTAAATAAAGAAAGAAAACATGCGATTTCAACAGCGCTGCATTACTTTAGGTCAGTTAAAGATGTCGATTGTAATTAGCGTTCTTTAAAAAAACTTTTTTTTGTTGTTCAGGGTCAGCCCTTTATGAGTAAGAAGGGTCACTGTGACGCATAAATACAATCTAAAATATGAGAAATAGGAAAATGAAGATCCTATTTTCACGGTATAAATTATTATGCTACCAAGCGAAAGTGTCTGCTTAAAGGGACACTAAAAACAAATAACAATTTGCGTCAGAGTGAAATCTAAATGTATGACAACGTCTAAAACTACAATATTATCAACAGCAATGCCCTACTTACTGACAAATTAAGGTGAATGCACAAGGACACATGCACCACAGTCAGGCATTTTCAAAATGATCCCGATGACGTCAGACGAACCACCTACAATTAATCACTAGTAATCAATCTAGCTGCACTAAATAAAAAACATTCCGTGCATCAAGAGACGCAATGAAATTCTGCTTGTTTGTTTCTGTTTGAATCATGGAAAAAAAGAAGCGCTGGACGTTATATGGGGAATGGCACGAGCGGTTCAAAAATTCAATTGACACCAATTCAATTTTCGCGTGGTTAAACTAGACAGGTCGTGCCAACTAGCGGGGCCTGGTTGAACCAATCACGCCTGCAACTTTGAAGGCTATTGCTAAAAATTGTTCAATGGCCGTTGCTGCTGCTGTCGCTCCCGCTACTTTTCCGCTGCAGGCAGTGTCGGCGACCGCGCATTAAAGCCAAGCAACGTTGTGTACGGCAGCAGTGACGTCAGACCTTCCGTTGAGGAGGTTAAACTGAAATGTGCTAACCCTATGTGGACCACAAAAACACGATTTTATTTCAAAATTAGCCCTTTCTTGACACAAAAGTAACACTATGAGGTTTCCTTCAAGTAGCGTCACAGAAAGCCGCTTAAAGCAGCTAAGTGGTACCTTAAATTGTGAGGGTGAATTTTAATCACAGCTGACAAAAGAAGTTGTGCACCCTACGCGAATGAATTTGTATGAAGTGCCTTCGTTCCCTGCCTAGGTGAAGCCTCACACTCCTTCCCCCACAATGTCTGATATATATATATATATATATATATATATATATATATATATATATATATATATATATATATATATATATATATATATATATATATATATATATATATATATATATATATATATATATATAAATATATTACCGCCCCTACGCCCCTCATCTCCAATAAGAATTATGAATAAATGCCTGCCTGTACGTAGGACGACGCAACGCTCACACTTGCTGAAGAAGTTACTCCTTACAAGGCCGCTTCCCTCTTTACAGGCCTTCCAAGCTTGTCCCTTTGTCCTCCATTGCTTGCAATGGTTGTCTCTCACAGAGAGTTGAAATCGCATCAAGTGTCACACAGCACACAACGATGGCACGCCACAAAAAGCCTTTTACAGTACGGGTCTTGTGTCGGAGTTGATCGCAGCACTCAATGTAGACGCCGCAAAAATTTACTGCTTTATGCCTGCACTGAGGTCTTTCCCCAACGGTCATCGGAAATATTCGCGAAAATACCAGAACAGTTACTTTCACCCAGCGATTGAAGTTAACACTCTGGGGATAAAATCTCGAAATCGTTTTTTTTTTCTAGAGAGAGAGGAGAGGGGGGGGGTGGAGAGAGAAATGTTCTTGCCTGCACTTCAAGCTGAATTTCCTTATGTTTGGATTGGCTTTCTAGATGGAAAAGAACTAAGATATCAGACCGCTAGCTCAGTGTACCGCAAATAATCGGGTGATAACAGCTAGTAAGTGTACACGTTATGTTGTAAACAAACCAACGCGTTCAATCCGCGCAAAAAAACAACAACAATGTTTTCCAACAAAACGTTGCTTCCCTAGAATTACACAAAGAGTGAGATTGCGTGAAAATTCCTGCTTCGACGACAGCACACTCATTTGAAGGAAGCATGGTATTCTTGCACGAAAAATCCACGAAAAACACGGGAGGAGCTTTAGCCGCAATTTCGTCTCTTGGGTAGCCTGTACGTAAAGAGTTTACTACAGAATGACCGAGGAGTTAGAGGCCGGAAAGTGGGACGCTGCAGAGAACACTGGAAGAAATCAAAAGCAGCGCAGTGTGGGTTCTGGTATTTTGCCTCTGAACCTCACCCAAGCATTGTATTTTCTTCCTGCGTTCCATGAGCAGAGCTCTCCACTATTGAATTTGTCAGCTATGGGCTAACTGATTGATGTCGATGCTAAGCTTGTTCGACTATATTTAAAACCGTGTTGTAGTGGTAGCAGGCACTTAATTGGCTTTTTTTTTCTTTCTTGGTGCGCTTTGAAGCTTTCTGTAGATGTTGATATTGGTGTTCACTTTGAAATTTCGGGCTTCTTAGAATTCACGTTTTCTTTTGTCTAAGCCTAAACGTCTACTTGTTTGGTGGAATAGTTTGGCACTGTGGTTGCGGCTTCTCACCGGAAATCGTGGTCAACAGCTTCGTTGTCTACGTGGCGGACGAAGCGTGTTGGCGAGTACACCTATAAGCAGCAATACGGTGTCGCGGCCGAAGGAAAACAGGGAACGCTTTATTCAAAAATAGAGCGCATGTCACGGCTCTTGGGCAACGATTTCAAGTGCCGGGAATCTTAAATGCAATGAACTAACAGACTTGCAAAACCTCGCCATGAAATAGACACCCGCGAGCCTCAGCTATTTGTACCTGAAGGCCATTTGTCTGGTAGTCGCCAAGGAAAGCACTGCTGAATATTAGTAAGTCAAACGCCTGCCCTGGTAATGGTATGCAGCAACTACAAAAATGATTTCTTTCGAAGAGCAACAGTCGGAGGGAGGGCACCGACGCGTCAACTTCGAACAAAAATAGTCTAGCTTGAGCATGGCAATGCTTCTTCGCGGTTGCTCTGTCGCTCGTTTATTCCAAAAAAATAAAGTAATCTACGAAACAGGGATACATGAATATTTGATAACGTTCTTTTATCGCTTTTTTATCTGTTCACATTTATTCAGGACACCTATAAAGCACTACTGTAGCGCCTGTGAAATGTTTTCTTGCAGTTGAAACAGGATCACTGCTTTAAAAGTTGCTTCCCTAGAATTACCCAGTGAGATGGCGTAAAAATGTCCGCTTTAAGGGATTACGGCTTCTCCCTTCAATTAAAGGAATGAGTGCATTATTAATGTTAGAATTTGACAGTTGCAACTATAAACTAGTTTGCACTTTATGGAGGAATGTAGTCGTAACCATATTTCATTAGTAAGTGCGAACTAAGACAACATGGCATATTTTGTTGTCTAACATTGTTGTCATGCTGCTTATTTTTACATTACAAATAGCAGTTGATGGTTGTGTTTCTGCTCTGCTTGAAATGGCTAGTGACGAAAGGTTCAGCTGAGTTTACTCAGGTCTGGACATTGACTGTGATTTCTGTACAAGCAACAATGAAAACGTTGTTGCTGAATGCGTTTTTCTCTAATCATGACATTGCAATGATTGGAAAACAAGAAAATGTAACCCGTCTTTGTCATAATTTCCCCTCGCATTCTCGAGTTTTCTTCTCCTCCATCCAAGGACAAAAGCACACATAATTCGACCTGTGAAACACAGTTTTCGCAACATTCAGTAGGACGAGGATGAAAAAAAAAACACAGAAGTCTGGACCGTTATATATATATGTGTGTGTACGACAAATGCTTCCGTGGCGCTTGCTTTTTGATGTCACGTTTAAGAATACTGAAAACACTTATATAGCACAGACAGATATCGTTCCTGTTTGCACCGACAGCTGAAAAGCAGAGCTTTGAAGGGTTTCACTGCGAAGACCTGCGGCGTAGCACCACACTGAGAAGAGGAGGGGCCCTCAGCTAGAGATCGTAGCTGCAGTGCAGTCCTTTTCCCTGGACGCAGTGCTTGACGGCTGTCTGACTAGAGTCCTTTTTGGCCGAGTAAATGTTCATGGCGGGAATAATGTGAACCCGGAGGCCGACGCCGGAGCCCTGCGGCCCCCCGATGCGCTGCTCACGCGAGGGCCTCGAGAAGGTCACGTGACTCTTGCAGCAGCAGTAGAAGAACAGCTTGTTGAAGGCCACGCGAAACGTCCGGTGCGTGGCCGCGTACACGTAGCTGTAGAGGCAGGAGTGCGACAGGGCCAACCACCAGGCCACGTCGACCAGATGCGGCGGGACCTCGCGGCTGATTGACACGGCGGCCAGCGCCACGCCGGGCACCCACATGGCCAGCGTGAGCAGATACACGGCCACGTGGCTCTTGAGCAGCTCTAGCGCCGCCCCGTCGGGGTCATGGCGTCGCATGCGCGCCAGCGCCACACCGAAGCCCAACACGGTGAGCAGCACGGGCACCACGATGCACAGCGCCGCCACGGCCGCCTGCAGAGGCACGTTGCTGGCCATGGGCGCGCCACCGCAAAACGTAGGTCCCAGTCCGAGGCCACGCTGGCCAAGTGCCACGGTGGTGGCCACGATCCAGCTGGCGAGTGCAGCGGCAAGTACGGCACCGCGCGAGCAGCGCAGGGCCAGCCCCTGGCTGGCTGCCAGGCAGGCGAACGAGAGCAGGCTCGCTACCAGGCACACGACGAGCAGCGCCCACTGGAAGTGGCACAGGCCCGGGTCGCGCGTCACGCCCGCCAGGATGGCCACGCACGTGGACGGCAGCAGCAGTGCCGACACCAGCAGGTGCGCCAGCGCCGACGACACGAGGAAAGCGTTGCCGCGCGTGCGCAGCGGCTCCATCACGATCACTGCACTGATGACGAACACTCCGCCCAGAGAGCCGGCCGCCGACACGCACGACAGCAGCGTGAGCCGCACGGCCGCGTTCTGGCCGGGGTCCTCGTCGCGCGTCCAGCTTGTCACCGAGCCGTTGGCTGCGGTCGACATCGGCAGGCCGCCCGCTCCGTCGCGCCTGCGTAACACACCCGTTTCTGAACAGCAGCCCTTTGTGGCATATGTGATCTTTTTGGCTAATCATTTTTGGCGTTATGAAAACACATTGCCAGCTATAGCGTCCCTGGCAAAGTGACGTTCGTGAAGGAAATCATGATGTAACACCTGTATGCTGTCGACGAAAAAATGTATAACGTGGAGAAAGAAAGAGAAAAGTAATAGGAACAAACAGGAAAGTCACTAGAAAACTAACTGTTGGGTCACTTGACCTAGCATTACAACTGCAAACCAAATTTGAGCTTGATTAAACTGTGAAATACACATGGAACAGACAAAAAATGTTTTAAACTTTTAAACTTTTGCAGGTAAGAAGATAACCCGACTGCGCTTAGTTGGCTATTGTGTACTGCAGGAAAAGAAAACGAGATTATCGCACCGTACATAAACTTCCACATAATTAGGTGTTCATAGATAATGTTTTCACTAGTATAGTCAGACAGGCTGGTGCATGTCAAGTAAGAGGAATCTGCTTATTTAAGATCCGTGAACTAACGTGGGAGAACGGTGGATATTACAAGTTTTGCGCCGAATGCAAAAGTGCGCCTTTTAAACATCCATGATTAAGTTCCCTGTGCTCATGACCATTTGCTTAAAGTGACAAAGGACGCGTTTGTTCAGTTTGTTTGTCATTTCGTTGGCGACATTAAGCCAATAAGCCAGGACTATAGGGTGTCACTTGGAACCAAGAGGCGCTTATTCTGTTTGCTCGCAATCGATACACTCCAGGCACTTCGCGTCCAGTGGGTCTACACTAACGTTCCCGGGGAGTTCCTAGTCTTCTTGTTCCATTAGAAGCTCAGTGGGACAGCGCTTCTCTTAATGGGCCATGATTGCAGTGCTGGGAAGTACACGCAATCAGGCCACAAGGCTGGACTTGCCGTCGTCCATGGTCCCTGCAGCGAAGGCGGAAGGCCTGGATATATATGAGACGGAAACACCTCGCACAAGCACAAAATTGCCCCGGTCACACTTCTTAATTGCTCATCACAAGCGACGTGCCTTCTATAGCGAAGCTTCGATTGCTATACGATGAAATATCTCAGCCCTAAAGTCCACAGCAAATTTCATCATCTGAGAAAAAATAGTTTCCGCTGCAGTTTAAGTTAAAAAAAAATATTGAGCGTGCCAACAGCCATGCGGGAATAATACGTGTGTTGTAGAGTGTTACCGAAGTTTTGTTCCTTGCATTCTACTCAGTATACTACATCGTTTCAGGACTATCAGGTGAATTAAATTAGATTTGGAGTGAACAGTGCCTTTATGGTGAGAAATAGTGCTGGGTGTTCACGTGAGCATCTTTGTTGAAATAACAGCCCGTAGCCAACGTTCTGCTCCATTGCCTATATACATCTTGTATATTTTGGCCAGACTCTATGATATAAGAGAGGAGCGATTTACGGTAAAGACCGCACACCGCTTTGTATGTTATAAGTTCACAGGCTATTCGAATCATTCAGAGCTTTGAGAAAACACAAATCTGAAATCTCTCTTGGCAACACAGAAAGTTTTCAGGTTTGTACGAATTCTGGCTCTCGTTCGGCTGCTTGTTGGGAAATTAGCGTTTTATTTTTGGGAACTAGTCGACGCATCAAGCTGAAACTTTGCATACGATAAATTGTGCATTGAAAGAAAAACAAATGTTTGCAGCAACTTCAAGGTTGTATATAAAATGTGTCAGCTTGTATCCCATTACGGTGTTGCACGAATGTTGCAAACTGCTGTCAAAGGACTTACAGTGCTCCTTCGAGCTGTCAAACGTTTCGATATGTTGATGTAAGCGAACGGCTCACAATTTCTGCTCTATGCTTTCTATGCTCGCGTTCCAGGTAAACTAACCGCATTGAAAATCAAGTGTCGCATGTGCCTTTCTAACACCAAAAAGTATTTACGAGAGACAAAGCTACGTATTCAGCGCTGCATGTTTAAGGGGTGCTCTAGTTGCGCATTCACGTGTTTGCGCTGGACGCAGAAGAGATAAAGAGGGAACCTTATATGGTAAGCGCACGTGAAAATCAACATTGCTTCGTTTTCTCTAAATGGCTAGGTATCAAATGCCTTGAACTCTGCTTTCCTGAAACTTGAGCTGCAATTTCTCTACTCTTTTTTTCCCCTTTCACTTCTACGCGCACATTCTTTTTTTTACGCTCCCTGCTTGAGTTTTGCGAACTTCATGAAGTTCCACGAAACCTCCTCTACCTTGAGAGTTTCAACATAACTCATTTGCTCGGGTTATGGTAAGGCCACAGGAGAAGAGCGCAACCGACGAAACACAACCGTTGAAAGCGCGGCGCTAAAACCGCAGACACGCTCTCCCGAAGGGTTAAAGCTCGCGCCAAAGGATCAGGCGTCTGGCATCGTCGTTCTTCGCGCGGCCCGCCAGCGAATCGATTTCACTTTTGTCGGCGTCCGGCCGCGCCGGCGCTTCTCGACAGCGTTGTCGCCGCCGGCGACCGCGGCCTTGACTTTTTCGGCAGGGCGCGATGGGGTTCGGTGTGGTGAGGTTGAATATTTAAGCACAACCCCTTCTTTGCGCGCAGCCCTTCGGCGACAGCCGATGTCGCTCGACCGTGGAAGCAGATGCCCGTGAACTCAACCACCGGCGCTGTGGCTATTTGAGCATCCCATTTCCCGTGCATCGCCTCATTACCCTCTAACACGCACTCACGTGATGCTCTTCAGGTTCGTCTCTTTACACTTCTCCGCGAGCAGCTTTCCATTTTATATATTTATGCTCTTACTAGTTCTACATGCAGAGTGATTTAAATAAACAAGTAAATTCAGTTGCACATCTTGCACAAATTAAATTGATGCAAAAAAAAAAACTTCCCGTTATGTTCGTTTCAAGTAATCAATGAATGAACACGAGCGGACCACCCCGTCTTTCTTTTTTTTCTTTATTATTTCTTCACACGCCATGCAACTTTGGTTACCTAACAAGGCCCCTGGAGCTACGTCGATGAGAGTGTTTAGGCACCTGAATACTCCACATTCATTTGTGAGATAGAGCTGCGACACAGAAAGTGAGGGAGGCGCTCACATGTGCGAGTGCAGTGAACCTGTTCGGCTAACGTTCCACAGATTGCATTAATTTGGAGGTAAGGCGTAGATTTTATAGCTGCCGCGTCCGATACGCAAGAGTTGGAGCTTTGTGCTACATTTGCCAATGGACGAAAGTTCGTAAAATTGAGTGTCGTCATGTTGGGCTATAGCGTCACAAGCATCGCTGCTTTTATGCTGGCTATCTAACGCAAATTCGCTGGATTGCGATGAACACTGAACTGCTTCTGTACGTTCTGCCAAAAGATATAACGTTTCTCGTGTTCCTCTTGCACGAAGTAATAAAAACGCAGCAGAAAAAAATGCACATACAGAGTAATTATTCTGGGCAGAACAGCAAAAACAACGAAAAAAACAAAACTACATTTTGTATCTTAATGCACAACGGCTAATACAAACGAAGCAACAAGACAAACACATAACGTAACACTTATACAGTAAAGTCAATCTTCTTAGGAAGATTACCCTGGTGTTAAAATTTACAGAATGGTAAATCCTTTCAGTAACTAGATATAACCAGAAAGAAGAGGTACGTACAACTCTCGCGTTACTCCTCCACTACTTGGAGTCAACAACACGAATAACAGAACTTCTGTGGCGCGTTGTGACGATGTGCGCAGACACGTCGAGTCGTGGTTACTGGTTTCCCGAAGCCTGATAGGGCTCCGACTACCAACCATTTTCGGTAAAACCGCTGTGCCCCACTATCTTGGGCTGTTGAGCCGTTTCTTTTTTTTATACCACGAAGTAAACTAAACGACGTAAAACTTTGTCTAATATGCTTGAGATCGCTCAAAACCGTACAGCTCGTTTTGAGACTAACAACTATGACTTCAGTGTCAGTGTCACTGCGCTTAAAGATAGGGTGGGATTCGTTGGTATTACGTGCAAAACACTTGAGATTAGAAATGCTGTTCAAAATATTTCATGGGTTGATCAAAATAGATAAAGAATCTTACCATTCACCTCCCCATTTTTTATCTCAGAGAATTGAATAAAAAACAGGGCCATTCAAAATCGTATGCACAAGCTCAACCGTTTTCATGCGTACGCATCTACCGTAACATTGTTCATTTAGTTGTTAAAGATTCAAAACACAAAGCATTTGAGAGCCACTCAGTATGGCGGCACTCAAAACCATCTGTAAAATAGTCTATATACTTTTTGTACATATCATGGTTACCGAATTTGTGCGACAGGTGCCGCAACAAATAGTCTCCAGGTGCTTTCAGCCAGATTGTGTGTACCTCTATCTGCAGGTATGAAAAGGTAACTTCATCATCCGTGCATAGTACGAAGTGTTGTTTACCATGCTGTAGCATTTTTGCAGCAAACGTCAGTGAACTGCAACGCAAGTGTACCTTACGCGCTAGTAAACTATTCCCAGTGGTGGACATCATTTGTGTATTATGGCAAAATGAACACCTGACTGACTAAAGAGCTTTTGTTAATTAACTTTTGAAGTAAATAGAGTTCGACTCGTACTGCTATTTGCAAATTGTAGACAGAAACACCGAGTATCATGTCTATATGAAAGAAATCTTGTGGAAGTGGAACGCGCCAGTTTCTTGGTGTACGCATGCGCTCGCAAACTTTGCGGCAAAATTCATCTGTGATTTGATTGAGTGATTGAATGGTTCACTGATTGATTGATTTGTGGGAATGAACGTCCCAAAGCCTCCATTTGATTATGAAAGACGCCGTAGTAGAGGGCTCCGGAAATTTCGACCACCTGGGATTTTTTAACGTGCTCCCAAATCTGAGCACACGGGCCTATACGTCATTTGCGACTTCATCGATAATGCAGCCGCCGCAGCCGGAATTCGATCCCGCGACCTGTGGGTCAGCGTACCATAGCCACTAGACCACCGTGGCGGGGAATTCATCTGTGATCCATTACTA